CAATTTATCAAGCTACCAATTCACCAAGTTACCAATTTATCAATTCATCAAATTCCAAATTTCCAAATGTAAGAAATAAAATTACCAATTAACAAATATCCAAGTTTGAGAATCCCAAAAATTAGAATTTTCATAAAATTACAGAACAAATAAATATTCAAATATCATAACATTTAATCTTCAAATTTTGAAGCTTCGAAATTCACAATTCCATGCCTTCACAAATCTAAATGATAAAATACTTGCAAATTCAGAAATAAATATTTCACTTCATTCAGAAATTGCATAGCTCAGATAAATGATTGAAATTATTTATGAACCGAGAGTGCAGTCTTGTTTTAATTAAAATGCTATTATTAAGATATGCTTCAATTTGATATTTTTGGTAGTCAATACAATTGTATGCTATTGCGATTTGGTATTCAAATTACTCAGTTTCGTTAATACGATCTGCATAATATCGAGGTACCAGTTTCATTTGATACGTGCCGCATGCATACAAATAAAGGTTTCAGCTTTGCTCGATTTCAAACTTCATTTCATTTGACAGCAGATCATATGAAAAATTATATGTGTAATTTATAAATTCAGAATACACTCAATGGTTGATTTATGAAGAGGTCAAAGTTTACTCTTGGTTCAGTTTACTTTTGAACATATATTATTAAATGCACATACGTAAATTTATTATTCTAAACATATATATTATTTAATTTTGTAAACATATGTATTATGTAAATTTATTATTCTGAACATATACATTATGTAAATTTACTATTCTAAGCATGTGATTAAAATTTCAGCTATAATTTTTATCAAAGCAACCAAAACGTATGGAATTATTTTCAAGTTCTATAAAGAACCTTATTTGTTCCTCCACGTTAACATAATAAAAATAATTAGTAAGTAATGAATAGTAGTCTAAATATAAACGAAGCTTACTTGATATTGTAACATAAACGACACCGGTGTTCTAAGTTTAGTCTCCGTTTCTTTTCACCAAGGGGTTGCAGAAACCTTTAAAGTGTCCCTAGCCAGACAGTAAGGGGTACTCACTTGTGCGTAAGCCATTAGTTTTCTTCGGATGAATCAATCATTAGCTCAGCTTAAAAAAAATGACTCATACTTCTCCAATTGCGCATTTTTCAAGTGGAAATTTTTTGCTCGCATCATTGGGTAATTGATGTTAATATATCTGAATTGCTCCTCATTTTACTCTTCACGCATGTGCTAAAATTGTGCAAGAATGTGGTACACTGTTTTCTAAATAAAAATATGAAATTATATTTCCAATATAAAGTTAACGAAACTAATGATCATTCTTATAATAATTATTACATATAACGAAAAACGTAAGACTCAAAATTTAAAGATAAATTTTTTAAATGTAATATGAAATTTAAATATAAAATTAATGACAAGATATATTTGATTTAAATATGACACTTTCGAATCTGAGATGTAGGATTTAAACATAAAATACAAATTTAGAATATAAAACTTTTCTCTTTTTAAATTAAAAAATTTGTTATGATATTCTTTTGGAATCCATATTGGTTTTCATCGACAAATAAAATTAGTGTATTTCTTAATTTATGTTTCATTGTTTGTTTATTCCTTATTTTGTTTTTAATTTTAATTTATGTTTAATATTAATAACAGAAAGATACACGTAAATATAACAAATACATATGTGTTTCGACGTTTTTATTGAAATGTCCCACCCCGTATATGACACATTTTTCTGTCAGAGAAAATTAAACGATACAAGCTGAGTGAGAACATCTTTTTTCAATGTTACTCCAAAGCGATTGATGCGAACAGTACAGTTTTTCTCTCGCAAAACCAAGCTATCCAATCAATCTAGACCTTTTAAGGAAAACTATGTCGAGTTAGTTGCATACATCGGTAAATGGAAACCGACCCTTTTAGTCGATGCAGCTGATTCGAACGAGGAAAGTAAATCAACTGGTTTTATGTAGTTCAAGATGAAAGAAAAGTGTTGTTATCGTTTCAAACGTGTATTTTAATTGCGAAAGTAGTAATCGTTTCTTGATTGTTCACTTTCAAATTTTTTTTTTATAGGAAATTGAGGAATTTAGGAAATTAGGAAATTATGAAATTATGCAATTGAGGAATTTAGGAAATTAGGAAATTAGGGAATTGAGAAATTAGGAAATTGGGAAATTAGGGAATTGGGAAATTAGGGAATTGGGAAATTCGGGAATTGAGAAATTAGGGAATTGGGAAATTAGGGAATTGGGAAATTAGGGAATTGGGAAATTAGGGAATTGGGAAATTAGGGAATTGGGAAATTAGGGAATTGGGAAATTAGGGAATTGGGAAATTAGGGAATTGGGAAATTAGGGAATTGGGAAATTAGGGAATTGGGAAATTAGGGAATTGGGAAATTAGGGAATTGGGAAATTAGGGAATTGGGAAATTAGGGAATTGGGAAATTAGGGAATTGGGAAATTAGGGAATTGGGAAATTAGGGAATTGGGAAATTAGGGAATTGGGAAATTAGGGAATTGGGAAATTAGGGAATTGGGAAATTAGGGAATTGGGAAATTAGGGAATTGGGAAATTAGGGAATTAGGAAATTAGGAAATTGGGAAATTAGGGAATTTGGAAATTGGAAATTGGAAATTGGTAATTTGGAAATTTGGAAATTTAGGAATTTGGGAATTTGGGAATTTGGGAATTTGAAAATTTGGAAATTTGGGACATTAGGAAATTGGAAAATTTGGAAATTTGGAAATTTGCGAATTTGCGAATTTGGGAGTTTGGGAAATTTAGGAAATTAGGAAATTGGAAAATTGGAAATTGGAAATTGGTAATTTGGAAATTTGGAAATTTGGAAATTGGTAATTTGGAAATTGGTAATTTGGAAATATGGGAACTTGGGAGTTTGGAAATTTAGGAAATTAGGAAATTGGAAAATTGGAAATTGGAAAATTGGAAATTGGAAAATGGGAAATTGGAAATTGGAAAATTGGAAATTGGTAATTTGGAAATTTGGGAAATTAGGAAATTGGAAAATTTGGAAATTGGTAATTTAGAAATTTGGGAATTTGGGAATTTGGGAATTTGGGAATTTGGGAATTTGGGAATTTAGAAATTTGGGAATTTGGGATTTTGGGAATTTGGGAAATTAGGAAATTAGGAAATTGGAAAATTTGGAAATTTGGTAATTTGGAAATTTGGAAATTTGGAAGTTTGGAAAATTTGGAAATTGAGAAATTAGAAAATTATCACTTTTAGTAATAACATTACTATACTATCATTACTTAAATCAGTTAAACCATAAATTGCTACCTAATTACTTTCAAATTTACCAACCTAACCCGACTACCATAACTCCACACAACACATCTTAACAATATTCCTAATTTCGATGAACAGTCAAGTAAACTAATAACACAGTCCCTAACCGATGATGTTAATTCGGTAAGAAAATGGCGGCAAATACCGGGTGTTCATAAACCAAGATGTTCACGACAAGAATAATAATGGGTGCAGTGACCGCGGTTCGTCTCGGACCTTCGTCGTTATTTCACGGAAGATGCAACACACCTTGAAGAGAAATGGGATGGAGCAGGTTGTTTAAGACAGTGAAAGAAGACGGCTACGACAGACATAGAAGGGACTATCCACGTGTCGGAGTAACGGTTCGCTGAATTATTTAAAGCATGACGGAGAACTTTGCAAGAGCAGGAGGTTCTTTGCACCAGACTCGCGTACGGGATACCACCTGATTTAAGTTCATCGTAGATGCGTCACCAGATACGTGTCTACATTTGCATATGACGAAATTACATGCACGCTTAACTTCGTTTGAATATCCTCGAAATTTATGACGGAGATCTTACACAGAGATTTTTTAAATAGCTACTACGTTTTGACACAGGCGATTATTCTTCTGATTCTAGGGTTCGGTGTATAGTCTTCGAGGTTCTTCTTTCAACTTTGTTTTAGACTTTAGACTTTGTCTCCTGGTGTTTATACTTTATAGGAAAACTGTCTTTTATTCTGAAAACAGTATACCTCCCCTACAAAACACAACAATCATTATTGGAATCGAGCAACGAATTGTAAACTTATAGCGTTTAATGCGACAGAACCTTTCGTCACCGTGTCACAAAATCACGAGCAAGTGCAACAAATTGCTCGCGTTGAATATTGCGAGGATCTTATCAAAACAGCCAGACGAAACTGTACATTCCTGGAATCAATTGTAACTAGTGATGAGACTTGGTGCTTCAAGTATGAACCTCAAACAAAGCGCCAAAGTGCTACGTGGAAATCTCCAGGCTCTCCAAAATCAAAAAATTGCGATCCCAGAAGTCCCGAGAGAAGACAATGTTAATTTGCTTTTACGATTCTAAAGGAATTATACTTCGGGAATTCGTTCCACAGGGACAAAATGTTAATGGCGAATATTATCTGGGTGTTATGGAGCATTTGTGGAAGAGGATCGTTCGTGTGAGGCCCGAATATCGAACGCCGGGAAGTTGGTTTCTGTTGTATGATAATGTACCATGTGAACTGTCGCTGTTCGTGAATTTTTGGCGAAAAAAGTCTGTTCCAACATCCTTCAAAGCTTGAATTATCTCCATGTGATTATTTCCTTTTTCTTATACTACTTATACAAATATGATACTTATGAGTCGTCAAATTTATGTTAATATACAATTATAAATCAAATACTTGTACACTAATAACCGTGTCAGTGGACATTTTATTGGGCAACTAATGTGTTCATTTATTTGGTATCGTAACAAGTGTCCGGTTACATCTTTTGCTCGATTGAGCGTATCTGATTGATGGCAAGGTAAAACAATCGCAGCGAAGAACGTGACGAATGATTAAACACATGTATAATACCTGATCGTGAAAGAAAGTAACGACACCGGGTTGTGCTATCAATTATTCATTAACCAATGCTGTGCTATGCATTTTGTACGGTTTTATTATACGGTCTGCTTTGTTTGTTACAGAGTGATCCCAGCACGGCATTTCTTCGAGCAGCTCGAGCAGGGCAGCTGGAAAAGGTTTTGGAACACTTAGAATCTGGGGTGGATATTAATGCTTCTAATGCTGTAAGTTTCCAGAGAAATTTTTTAGATAGAGTTTAGAATTGTTTAAAGTAGTTTGGTTAGTTCGGTCAAGAAATTTTTGTACGAATTTTATAATAAATTCAATTTGAGGATGTTAAGATTTTATTGATTTTATGGGTAATTGTGTCGAGGATATTCGTGCACTGGGCAAGTGTAATTCAACTCGAAAATTTTTCATTTTAATTTCACAAATTTTTAAGTTTTTAAGTTACCAATTTTTGAATTCTCTTATTTTTAAATTTCTAAATTCCCAAATTTTCTATTTCTGAATTAATTTCTAAATTCCCAAATTTTCTATTTCTGAATTTTCTAAGTTCCCAAGTTTCCAAATTCCCAAATTTCTAAGTTCCCAAGTTTCCAAACTCCCAAATTTCTAAGTTTCCAAATTTCTAAGTTCCCAAATTTCTAAATTCCCAAATTTCTAAATTTCCAAATTTCTAAGTTCCCAAATTTCTAAATTTCCAAATTTTTAAGTTCCCAAATTTCTATCTTCCCAAATTTCCTAAGTTCCCAAATTTCTAAATTCCCAAATTTTTTACTCCTTAACCTTCTAAGTTCCCAAATTTCTAAATTCCCAAATTTCTAAATTTCCAAATTTCTAAGTTCCCAAATTTCTAAGTTTCCAAATTCTTTACTCCTTAACCTTCTAAGTTCCCAAATTTCTAAATTTCCAAATTTTCTACTCCTTAACCTTCTAAGTTCCCCAATTTCTAAATTCCCAAATTTTCTACTCCCTAATTTTCCAAGTTTCCAAATTTCCAAACAAGCAAATTCTCAATCCCCCAACTTCCTGATTCCCTAAAATTCCAAATTTGAAATTTCAACAGATTAAAACATTCTTGCACTATTGCCCTTCAACTTTTCATCGACTTGATCTGTCCATCAAAATTATAGACTGAACATTGACCCCAATTTACTTATTACAGAATGGTTTAAATGCTTTACACTTGGCGGCCAAAGATGGACATTTGGAAATCGTCAGAGAACTTCTTAACCGAGGCGCAGTGGTCGATGCTGCTACAAAAAAGGGAAACACAGCATTACATATCGCTTCTCTTGGTACATAAAAATGTTAACGTTCTTATGTTCTGCGTTTTTCTTTTAGACACCACTGTTTTGTCAGTCTTTTTCACTTACTATTTTATCTTGTAATATCTGGTAAATTCTTATAAAATCAATAGTTACATAAGTCCATTAGATCTCAATATTATTTTGTTGTATTATAAAGAGTAGTTTTTAATACTTTTTCATGTCACTGTATGTGAAACGAGCATTTCGAGTTGAAATTAATATCTCGTTGCAGCTGGACAGGAGGAGGTGGTACAATTGCTGGTACAACGAGGTGCTTCTGTGAATGCACAGTCACAAAATGGATTCACGCCATTGTATATGGCGGCTCAGGAAAATCATGATTCCGTAGTCAAATATCTTCTGAGCAAAGGTGCCAATCAGACATTGGCTACTGAGGTTTGTAAATGAAACATACTTACTGACAACAAATAAAACATACACTGACAACAGATAAAACATACACTGACAACATATGAAACATATTCACTGACAACAAATGAAATATACTTATAATGTTACCATACCTTGGAGTGCAATAATTCATACCTTTGTACCTATACACCTTTAACGTTACAATAACGTTACATACGTTTAATAATATTTGAATAAATCCAGATACATAATTAACAAATTACATGATATTTAACTACTTTTATATTTATTTAACACACTGACAGCCACACTGAAGCAATTGAAAATTGCATCTAGTAGTAGTTTATATTTTTAATAAATCATACCAAATATTTTCACAATACCTTGTTATAATTATTTTCCATAGCTCCATATAATGCAAAGTTTTAATAATACATTAAAATAATGTTAGATCTGTTAAGTGTCAGTTATATATAGATGACGTGGCTGTCAAACTGTTAATACAACACATATTTTATTTAGATTATGAAAAAAGTAACAACAGAAAAGAAACCTTCTTCCAATACTACATAATTAACATTGAAATATTAAATGAAGTAAATTGCTGACATTTCTAATGTATATGTATTTGTAGGATGGTTTCACCCCGTTAGCAGTAGCGATGCAACAGGGTCATGACAAGGTGGTGGCAGTTCTATTGGAAAATGACACTCGTGGTAAAGTTCGACTACCTGCCCTCCACATTGCTGCCAAGAAAGACGACTGCAAGGCGGCTGCCCTACTTCTGCAAGTATGTCGCAATAATTTGCCACCGTGGCTCTACATTCAATCCGATGTTATCAGAAACGAAATGAATTTAATTCGCAGCTACGATGAATTTATCGCTGTCATAATTTCTGTCGCAGAACGATCACAATCCCGACGTAACATCGAAAAGCGGTTTCACGCCGCTTCACATAGCTGCACACTATGGCAACGATCGAATTGCTTCCTTGCTTTATGACAGAGGGGCGGATGTTAATTTTGCTGCAAAGGTATAAATAATTACTTGTTACATTATTATATTCTATTTTATGCAATGTATTGTGTTATGTAATGAAATATTTCATGTCAGCTGTTAAGAAAATTAGGTCTTTGCTCTACTTGTCTGCTGTTGTGAGAATGCAGTTTAAATAAACAAATCTTATAGGATAAATTTTGTACTGTTAACTTTATATCATGATTATTTTTTAAATAATATCTTATAACATGTTTTGATATTCATACTGTAAAAAGTGAAACATGTGTATGTGTTATATTAAGATATATCTGGGTATTCAGATCACCACAAGCCTCTATATCCCTGGATTTCTATATTTTTATACTTCTGAACTACTAGATTTTTATATAAAATTCTAGAGTTTCCTCTAAGTATATTGGTCCTAAATATATTACCCTCTAACCTATTACCTTCTATTCTTAAATTTGTATGTCCCTCCAGCCCTAAATTCTGGCTGCCATATTGAATTAGAAATAAATTGCATTCATTGATAAACTGGATCTCATATAAAACTCTAGTATAGTCTAGTATAAATAAGGATTAAAATGGCATAGGACAATATTTTTCAAAAAAAGAATTTTCTAGTTTTAAAGTATTATTTCATAGTTATAATATGTATTAAATTATAACGACGTTTTTTTATTTAATAGCACAATATTACACCAATGCACGTAGCAGCAAAATGGGGAAAAATCAAGATGGTGAATCTTCTGATGAGCAAGGGAGCGAACATCGAAGCGAAAACGAGAGACGGTCTTACGCCCCTTCATTGTGCGGCCCGATCTGGCCATCACGAGGTCGTTGACATACTAATCGAAAAAGGAGCACCAATAGGTTCGAAAACGAAGGTAAAGATATTCTTACGGTTATCGAAGGTAAAAATGTAGAGGTGAAGCTTGATTCTTGTTTTCTGTTGACAGAACGGTCTTGCACCGTTGCACATGGCTTCTCAAGGAGATCACGTTGACGCCGCGAGGATATTATTGTATCATCGTGCACCGGTGGACGAAGTGACGGTAGATTACCTGACAGCTCTACACGTGGCAGCTCATTGCGGACATGTGCGAGTCGCTAAGCTCTTACTCGATAGAAATGCCGATCCAAACGCACGAGCTCTAAACGGCTTTACTCCACTTCACATCGCCTGCAAGAAGAATCGACTGAAGGTCGTTGAGCTCCTTTTAAAGCACAAAGCTAGCATTGAAGCTACCACAGAGGTATATTCCCGTTTCTTTGTTAGTGCGGTTAATTACCTTCCTTAGTTATAATACCTTACGTCATAGGTACACGTCATATACGTAATAGTGTCAGTTATAAATACTCGTCATTTACCTTCGATTAGAAATACACACTGTATTCCAAATGGTTTCTACGTACAAATCATGACAATACAGGAATATATTATTATTTATTAGTAATAATAGACTCGTTTTATTGCTTAGTCTGGATTGACGCCTCTACATGTAGCAAGCTTCATGGGATGCATGAACATAGTGATTTATTTACTGCAACACGCAGCTAGTCCCGATGTACGAACTGTAAGGGGCGAAACGCCTTTGCATTTAGCTGCCAGAGCGAATCAGACTGATATTATCAGGATACTTCTTAGAAATGGTGCCCAAGTTGATGCCACGGCAAGGGTAAAGAAATCATTTGAATATTTCAATAAAACTTTACTCTTCGTTCATTTTCCGTTGACTATTTTTAAATTACAAGTGTAATGTCCGTTAGCTTCGAATCGATTTTGATAAAAGTAAACATTGTAGGAGGAGCAAACACCACTTCACGTTGCGTCCCGATTGGGTAACGTTGACATTGTTATGTTGTTACTTCAACATGGTGCCGGCGTAGATGCTACGACGAAAGATTTATACACTCCACTTCATATCGCCGCTAAAGAAGGTCAAGAAGAGGTAAAATTTCAGATCCATATTCTCGCAATAGTTATTTAAATAATTATCGAGTTACAAATAACCTATAACTGACGCAATTTTTGTTTTGATGCCCAGGTTGCATCCGTTTTGTTAGAAAACGGCGCTTCGCTTACCGCAACGACCAAAAAAGGATTTACACCTTTACATTTGGCAGCTAAGTACGGTAATATGAACGTAGCAAGATTATTATTACAGAAGAATGCGCCAGTCGACGCGCAAGGAAAGGTTAGGAAAATTTTCACTGACTTTTATAATAATATGTGAAAGTGTGGTTTATATTAACTTCATTAATTAATTGCAGAATGGAGTTACTCCACTTCATGTAGCATCCCATTATGACCATCAAAATGTAGCACTGCTTTTACTTGATAAGGGTGCATCACCTCATGCTATGGCTAAAAATGGTCATACACCATTACACATTGCTGCACGTAAAAATCAGGTAAATAATTGAAAAAGAGTTGTTTAATGTTTGTTACTAGTACATAGCACTAATTTAAATTTTCGTTTGATGCAGATGGACATTGCAACTACTTTGTTAGAATATGGGGCAAAAGCAAACGCGGAATCAAAAGCTGGATTTACGCCGCTACATTTGAGTGCACAAGAAGGCCATACCGATATGTCAACGCTTCTTATTGAGCACAAAGCAGATACAAATCATAAAGCAAAGGTAGTATTTTTGGAAGTTATATCGAAAAATACAGTTTATAATGATTTACTTTTTGTAGAATGGTCTCACGCCGCTACATTTGTGCGCACAAGAAGATAAAGTTAACGTTGCCTCTATTCTCGTTAAAAATGGTGCTCATATTGATGCTAAAACAAAGGTATATTCTATTTACAAAAAATATTTAATATTGTTGTCATGAATAACTGTTGAAATAATTTCTGTATCCGAAAACGAATACTTGTGTTACAGGCTGGCTATACTCCACTACACGTGGCATCTCATTTTGGTCAAGCAGCTATGGTACGATTTCTACTACGTTCCGGCGCAGCTGTTGATAGTAGTACCAATGCCGGGTATACTCCATTACATCAAGCTGCACAACAAGGTCATACATTAGTGATTAATTTATTGTTGGAGGGTAAAGCGAAACCGAACACTACTACAAACGTAAGTGGATTACGTGAAAATGTGTCGCAACTTTTATTTATTCGTTATCACTACATAGTGTTTTGCTTTCTATAGAATGGTCAAACTGCATTGGATATTGCACAAAAACTCGGTTACATTAGCGTTATCGAAACTTTGAAAGTAGTTACAGAAACAGTCATCACAACAACTCATACCATTACTATAGAAGAGAAATACAGAGTTCAAGCTCCAGAGTCAATGCAAGAGACGTTTATGAGCGATAGTGAAGACGAAGGGGGTAAGTGTTTGCTTCTTTTTATTTTAAAACATTTCAGATGTTGCTTCAATATAACAGAATACGTTTTAAAAGCAACGTACAAGTTGACTAATTCTGGTACTGAATGGAAAAAGATTCTTTATGAATTTGTTTGCTCCAAGCAATCCAGAACTAATAATTACAGATTATACTAGAGTGTTATGTTAATGAGTGTTATATAAACGAGAAGGAATTAGTAATGTCAGAGCAGTCGGAGAAAGAAATCTATTAACAAGTTATGACAGTAATTCTATGATTACTTGTGTCTTTTATAACTTTCTCATTATCGAATAATTGTTCATTTCAGATTTCTTGTAACTAAACAATTACTACTATGAAGGAATTTTTTTTGCCATTCAGATTAGTCATCTTGTACCATTGTTTTTGCATTCTTAATAAAAATGCTATGTTCTAACTGCTCACATTGTGCAGTAATAAGATAGAATATTGACTTCATAGAAATTAATTACTTTGATAGGCTGAAAATATTGCCAATACTATATTTTTGTGTATATTTTATTTTATATCAGTGAATGTTCTAAAAGCTATACTGTGCTGCCATCTAACGGCGAATGGAAAATTTAACGAGTCTGAATTGATCATAGGGGTCTCATGTGTGAAAACTAGGAATTGTCTCTTGTACTTGTTTACAGAGGAGAGATAAGGACAACAAACACACTGTCATATAAACCAATTAAAATTAGTAATTTTGTAGTTCAAATATTTTGAACCACTATCTAAAAATGTATAATTATTCAGTTGTGTGCATAATTTGATTTTGCAATTTGGTTTTTAAGACTATAAAATTGCATTGCTACTTCTACTTCACTATCAACAGATGGCGCTGAAAGTGGTTTTCATAGCACCCACTAATATAAAACTTAAAAACACAAAAGATAAATCCTACTCAATATTATCAATTTATTAATAATTTTTTAATAACATGATTTCTCTTAATATTGTACAAATTGAGTAGTTGTATCATTTGTATATAAGGATGTAAAGATCTTGTGTTCCAAACACAAGTTGCTATAGTCTTAATTGATAAAAACATTAATATGTTTTTGTCATAACAAGTTAGATACAGTTTAATATCCAAATTTATTAAGCTTGATGTCTATGCTGAGAATTAGTATTCTATTCTAAAAGTTCTGTTATTACAATATTAATTAGGACTTAAATATTAGTGAGCTGCCAATATGCTTGTAATGCAATTCTGCTTTTGTAACATATGCTTTTTATAGATGTAGCAGCTTCTAGCATATATAAAAGGATGCTGAAAGACATTTTTAATTTATTCATATCAGAATTCATTGCATGAAGCTTTTCTCCATCAGATGATAATTTTACTAAGCATATTACTACATATAAAAAAAATTTATAATAATATTGCGTTTATTATTCCATCCACTGAAACAGAAACATCTATCCAAAAGTTTACAATACATTTGACAAGAAATCATTTGAAGTATAGTAGCAAATTCAAGATATTCCTGAGTTTTTACATTTCGATAGCATTTCATTAAATGAACATTGTAAGTGCTATTCACAAATATCACAATCAAATTTCATTTGCACTCAAGTGTAAAATATTCGAAGTAGCTTGAAGGACACACAGCACTTTCTGTTTTACCACACTCACTATTTAAAAATGCATGTACTTAGAGCACGAAGCACGGGAACTTTGAAACTTCGGAACCCGAACTTCCCAAAACAAATATTTCCACTACAGAAATAACGATTTATAAATAATTAGAACACCAACGATCACGGATACGCATATAAAAATTTATAAAAATCGCCCTAGAGCCATTATTGTCTGCCATATTTCATGTTAATTGCCTCAGAAATAGAGTCAAAATGCTACATGGTATTATTTGCTTGTCTTGAGTTTATGTTAAATTCATTTCGCAATAGCATGTGTTTAGCGTATGTTCACTGGGTTGTTGCTATCCTGAAGTTAACTTTAATAACTAGGTGCACTAGACTATTTTAGATTAGTACATAGAAATGCTATTATGAATTCTTAGCCATAGATAATTCGGAACCTCAATAGATTCGTCGGAATAACGTAGTTTTCCCCTTAAGTAGGTGACATTTAAGAATACATTTATTTCTAGCAACATTTCCCACGTAATGACGTCATTATCGATTTGTTGATTGAATGAGATCAGTGCAATAAATAGCTGAAACTTTTTCTTCGTATTAGAAGATTATAATAAACAGTGATCTAACCAGGTTTGCTTGTTTGCTTGACTAAAATGCTTAATCGTGATGGGCAGGTGCCCGCTGAAGAACTCATGAACAATTATTTCTAAATTGCCAAATTTTAAACTACTAGATTTTCAAGTTACATTTTTCTACACTTTGTAACAATTAGATGTGCAAATTTGCAAAATTGTACAAAATTGTTCAGAAGTTCAGAAATGTGGAATTTAATAAATGCATAAATTAAAAAATATTGATACAAAAATTAAATATAAATTTTCAAATTTCTAAACGAAGTTGACAATGTCACCTATCAATGTGAGTGCATATGCTCGCGGGCACACATGCCCATTACTGAGCAAAACTGATCAGAACTAAAAAGTGACTAACATATTTAACCCGTTGGCTATTGGCATATTTTAGCACAATCAGAAAATAAAAATTGAAAACCAGGAAACTAAAATTGTGAATTATAATTGTGATGATCTGAAATTGTAACGAAATTAGGTGAAACTTGTAAGATGAACAAAGTCAAGAAAAATAGGAAGCAAACGAACAAAACTGCGCTCGTGATAGGCTTATCTCCTGCAACGTATATACGTAAAGTCGGCTATTTTAACAACCCAGTGATAGCGAAAATTAGAAACAGTGTTTATGGCGCGAACTGAACGTTTTGATGAAAAAAGAAATGACCTTACTCGACGGCATACAATGTAGGTGGTGATGAAATCGGCATGGCAACCATGAATGAGTACGGGCAGCCTCCACACGCGCAACACGTGTACCTTCCTTCTTACTACCAGGGCCAAATGACCTATACCCGTAAGTTGTCTGTACTCTGTTTCTGTCACTCTTTCACATATCACGTGCCCGCAACATTTTATATTTATACATACATACATGCATATATCAGCACATGGGTACGTAAATTAATCTCGCGCATCGGATCATTCATTTTCTGTTTCCTTTCTGTTCTTTTTGATTTCGCGGAAGTGTACTTGCAGATCAGATATCTGTATGTTGAGAGTCGACGTCGGAAATTGTTGGATTGTTGCATATTGAATTACGGATTTTAGAAGGAGTTTGAATGTTTGATGACGTAAAGGGATTGGTGGTAAGTCAGTTTGGGATTTAGGGGTGCAATGATTTTTGAATTTAGGAATTTGGAATGTTTAGCTATTTCAAAATGTGGGGATTTGGTGAGTTAGAAATTTGAAATTGTGGGAGTTCGAGAACTTAGAAGTTTCAAGGTGTGGGAGTTTGAGAACTGGGGTGTGGGTGTTTGAACAATCTAATATTTGGAATTGTGGGAGTTTGAAGATTCAGATATTTGGAATTTTTTAATTTAGAGTTTGATAATTTAAGGGTTTGAGAGTTTGAGAATTTGAGATTTTTAAAACTTGAGAGGTTAGAAATTGGAGAAATTGAGAATTTGAGAATTTGGGAATTTAAGAATTTAAGAATTTAAGAATTTAAGAATTTAAGAATTTAAGAATTTAAGAATTTAAGAATTTAAGAATTTGACAATTTGGCAATTTGACAACTTGACAACTTGAGGACTTAAGAACTTGACAACTTGAGGACTTAAGAACTTGACAATTTGAAAATTTGACAATTTGACAATTTTAAAGTTTGAGTGTTTGAGAACTTTAAAAATTTGAGAGATTAAGAATGTGAAAATTTGAGAATTTTAAAATTAAAAAAAAATAGGAATTTGAAAATTAGAAAATTTAATAATACTTTTCTTTCATACACAATATACTCCCAAAACGATACATAGCCTATAAACTGTAAATTTTCCAAATATCATAAATTAGAAAAATTTATTATTACTTCCAATGAAGAATTAGCTATTTTGTATCAATAATAACTATAATGTCAAGTACTACCTTTTCTCAAACTTACACTTCAAATTAATATAAAATAAGTATTATTTTGCAATACTTTTATGTCATCAAATTGTGTCAAATTTTTAATTCTTAAAAATTGAACAATGTTTGTCAAATTTGGTACCTAGCCATTTTATACCAAAAATTACATTGAACAATTTATTTAGTTCTTTTCGATAAACTTGAAGCTACATTAAATATGACAGAAATGTTATATGAACTGATTATTACAAAATTTGTAATTTGGTATGCAATAATCTAATATTTTTCCGATACTTCAAATTTATTTTTTAATAATATACAGGGTGCAATAAAATTCTATGCAAGTGAGAAATTCAATCTTACACAAAAATAAATCGAAATTGTAACATAAACTTTTTGTTCATTTTCAACCCTATTTCTGAAAGCATACGAAAAATTGTGCAATTTATAAACATTTATCTATGTAAAAATTATAAATCAACTGAAAATCGATATTTGATCATTTTAAGATTAAAGATCTTTAACGATTAAATATTATTAAAAATATTTAATTAGATGTATATAATTTATAAACAGTAGTTGTACCAGTAGTTAGAACAGTAGTACTAAAATTTGTAAATTTTCCATCTAACAAATTTAGAAATAACCACTTTAATTTATTAAACTTTCGATTTAATTTTGTAAGAGTTATTTTCTCCCTCGTACCACGAATTTCGTGTACCCTGTACGTATACCCGATAAACCGTTTCGCGTTGAATAATCAAAACATTCCACGATAATTACAGTCTTTTGATTTACTAAACATTACAGTCTTTTAATTTTGTATTTTAAGTCCGTTCCAGCGTATTTTCATGCGTGGAAACATAAATACAGAGACATGCACAGACATACCTCTCCTCGAACCACTATTTGTTCACACTCTGTTTCGTTTACCATCCTTCGTCGCTCCATTTATCCTGTGTAAAATTGCGAACCTCCGTATCGTTGAAAACGCCTGTAGTAGCTGTATAAACCTTCTTTTTCAACGAGATTTATGCTTTCAGTTTTTAACACCGAGTTTTTATTGTACAGTATAAATGCTATCGAAATTTCATTATAATTAGTTCGATCGACCCTGTACTAAGGATTATTTTATTTCTTTTCTGACTCCAGAATTAAACTTGAATCGTGTGTTCGCAAATGCATCTTATTTTATTTATTTTTATATTATACATGCTGGTATTAGTATGTGGTAAACATATGGAAGCTCTCGATCCGTAAATTTTATTGGAATCATTATCGTACGTTCATTAATTGTCACATTCGACCATGATTCGTCACATGGAATCATTTATTATACCAAAAGCTATTTTAACTTTATTGCAGCACCAGCTGTGTTCAATTCCATGTACTCTTTAGTATTTGACAAATTTACATCAGTGTTTAAATCAATGAATTTTATGCATTTTTAAAAATCCTGCGAATACGAAAAACGAGAGTGATGTACTGCTAAACAATTTTTTTTTATGCTAAAAGCGATTTTAACTTTATTGTAGCACCAGCTGCGTTTAATTCCATGTACTTTTTAGTATTTGACAAATTTACATCAATATTTAAATTGAAGGATTTTATGCATTTTTAAAAATCCTATGAATAAGAAAAACGAGAGTGATGTACTGCTAAACAATTTTTTTTAAACTCATAACCTGTTGAACAAAAACAGCTGAACTGCTAAACAAAAAATATATGAATCATTTACTAGATCTATTAAAAATAAAATTACTAAAAAGATTTTATAACAAATTTTGTTTATGACTTGTTTTAGAAAAATTTAGAATAGCACTCAAGAAATTAAAATGGAATTTTATTTTCAATTTATTGAACCAGTTTATAATTTTCATTTGAATGTTTAATACTTTGCGATCTTTTAAAACGGATGTTAATTAAAAGTATAACAAAATTTGGTATAAACGAGAATTGAACAACACTTCACAGAATAAAAGCCAGCGTGTATTTCCAGTAGGAAATTCAGAAAACGGCGCTTTAATGAAGTACGCTACGTTACTACTGTTAATGCAATTTGCATAATAACGAGTGGTGCGATCATTATGCCAGCTGACAGGAACAGGCCTAAGCTTGTGTGCTCTGTTTTGACGCATCATCCTCGTACCTATACGCATTTTACTTGGAGCCGTTATGCAACAGACAGTGTGCGTCTTGTACCATATTATTCGTGCAGTGAGCCTAACCACCGCTTGCTGGCAATACGCCAAATACGATTCACGACCAAA